AAACCGGCCTAACATAGGTTACAAACACCTGCTCTTCGAGCTGCTCCTTTTGCACCAGTTTGGCGAATGCAGAGGCGTTGAGGAAGCAATGGACAAGGGGATTATCTACCCCGGACTTGTGGAACATGTGGACTTGCTTGACTTCGCCTGTCGGGCTAGGGAGCCTGCATTCGTGCTCTCTAAGGTGAAGTGTCCGCAATATGTGCCTAACACAATGTCAAACGGGAGACTCTCTTCTACGAGGAGGGTCAAGGAGTGCAATACTTTCTCTACCTTCCCATCTTTCTCGAGACAAAAGTAGGCGTGTACCCCCTCGACAGATTCTTCAACACGCGTTGTCTGCGAGTGTGACGAGTGCGGGGCTGAGGGAGAGCCGAGGGAGAGGAGAGAGAGAGGGAAAGAGGGAGAGCACACACACACACACTCACTCACTCGACACGACTGAGGGTCGGACGCAGACACAGTGGCAAGGGCACAATGTCGAAGTCTTGGATTCCGAATGCCGAAACAGCAAGTCACACTGAGTACGACTACAGTAGCAGAAAACTGGTATGAGACTGGTCCCCGTACTGTACGGGGAGCCGGTATAAGTACTCGTGGCACGTACGGTACCAGGGGCATTTCCGCAAAAGCCTCGAGGGCAGAACTGAAAAATGCGGTATTTGAAAGTGGCGCCTGAATTGCAGCATGGCGCCAGTTGTCCAAAATCCGACCGGGATGCAACAGAAACAGCAAAAAGATAGACCAGGGATCGAGCCCTGGCGGAGTCCGTAACACTATCCCCTCCCTCTGAAAGGCAACGTCCCGGCTGCCAAAAAACCAAGGAAACAAAAAGAGTTGTGAAGGACGGGACGGGGCCGATCATTGGTCGGAGAAGGAGAAGGGGAGTGATGTTTGTCACAGGGTATTCTGTCTAGTGTTCTGCACAGGTGAAGGTATGATGTGACTGGGTGGGTCTATAGGGGAAGCTAAGCAATGTTTGGGGAACAAGGGATTTCTATTGATGTTCTACTGGGTAGGGGAAACGATGTTCAAGAAAACAGGGAATTTCTATTGATGTTCTAGTGGGTAGGGGAAACAATGGAAAACAGGGAGTTTCTATTGATGTTCTAGTGGGTAAGGGAAACAATGGTCAGGGGAGCAGGGATCTGCTAATGATGTTCTACAGGGTTGTCAAAGTCAGGAAAAAAAATAAATAAATAAACATGAAAATGTTTGTTCAGGAGGCAAGGGCTGGTGTGTCCGAAGGAGTCGGAAGCAGAATCTCATGTGGGAACAAAGTGTCCAAGTGTCTTGAAAGGGGATCTGCAGCAGTCTTGATCAGGTCTTGGAGTAGGTGGTAGAAGCGGTCTTCAGTGGCTGTGACAGGTAGAAGTCCAAGAAGCGTAACAGTAGTTTAAATGTCCAAAGTCCAAGTGTTGGGGTGCGTCCGGTACACGAACTGCAATGAGGTCTGATCTGGAAGCAAGGAAGTCGCAGACTGATGCAAAGATCCATGTCACAAGTTGCTGCTCCAGTAAGTCCGTGAGTCGGGATGCCGGCCGATGAAACGGCATGGTGGCCAAACCAGCTGCATAATCTCCATGAACAGTGAGGCAGCAGGCCATCATCCTTGTGCGCTTGCCATTAGATCCTTTATCGTCGGCGTCACGCAGGTTCATAAGCATTGGATGAGAGAGACAAAGTAGTGGAGAGGACAAATGGGACAAGGCTAGGCAAGGGCAAGGGCAGATCAGACATCAGGAATCGGGGTCGAGGGGAGAGTGGATTGGGTTCAAGGGTGTGTGTAGAACGGGGTTGCGAGGTTGTAGCAAGGTTTATACAGGGGTTTAGCGTTGTAGTTACGTGGGTGTCTAGGACATAGGAGTAGCACGATCATAGGCGCGGACAAGTTCCATGGCATTCTTGAGATTCGAGAGAGGTTCCCATGTAGATTCTTCGTCGGGGTATCCGGTCCATTTGACTTTGTATTCAGTGATTGGTTCCGGGTGGTCAGATACTTGAGTAGTTCGTCGACCTATGATCGCTTCAACAACAAATTCAGGGCATGTGGGTAACATGATAGGTGGAGGTCTAGGATATGCGCGGTCAGCGAATTGGGGTGGGGATTCATGATATTCTTTCAAGTATTCGACGTGGAAGACCGGGTGGACGTGCCTCATGTCGGGGGGGAGTTGGAGTTTGTAGTTGACGTCGGAGGTTTTTTCAATGATGGGGAAGGGTCCGAGCCATTTGTTCGAGAGTTTCTTTGACAATCCACATTCGGGTTCAAAGCGTTCGGCGGAGAGCCCAACTTCGTCCCCTACTTTGAATTGCAAGTCTTGTCTTTGTTTGTTGATCTTGTTTGCTTGTTGTTCTTGTGTTCTTTCAAGGGCTTCAATTGCTTCTATGAGGAGTCGATTCATTATTGCTACCCATTCATTGAGGGAAGGGCAGGGTGTGGAGGGGTTGAGTTGTGAGGGAAGCAGGAAATCAGAGGGCAAGCGCATATGGTAGCCAAGGTCAATGTTACATGCTGCGCCTGCACACGGGCCCCATTTGAGGGGCCCGACGGTTGCTGAGGGCCCCCCAGGCCGCATACCATCCAGCACGCGCCCTGGGGCCCACGGCGGCCCTCCAAGCCCTAGGCAGCACACTAGGTAGATAGGTTTATTTAACTTACCTTTTTTCTTGTGTGTGTGCTGTCTTATTTTTGTAAAGGTGTGTGCTGTCTTATTTTTGTCTGTTTAGGTGTCGTTTTGGACTGGCAGCCCCAAGGTCAGACCTTGGGACAGGGTACACCGGAGGCAGGCCCGAAATGAGGCCAGGCGCATTTTGGCGCCAAACCGGTAGGTACAGGCGTCGTTTCGGTCCTGCAGGACCCAAGACGACATCTTGGGCCAGGTGCACCGGTAGGAGGCCGTTTTTAGGCCAGGCACATTTATGCGCCATGCTGCATCAGCAGCAGGGTCTGGACGTCCGATAGGGACCCAGACCAGTTGGGCCGTTCTAGGCCACACAGCACCAGGTAGG